CCCCAAAACCCCAAAACCCCAAAACCCCAAAACCCCAAAACCCCAAAACCCCATTTAACTTCCCAAGTAGGTTTATTATAAAATATACAAATTAAGTATGATTGGAGGAACTCACCAATACCCTTTACAACAACAATCCCATCATTGTGAGACCAGTTACATGGGTGTCCTGCATGCCTTGATGAACACTGTCGAGTTATTGGGCGAGGAGTTATTCAGGGTAAAATACTCTACCTCACCAGGGAAGGTTTCTGCCCATGATGCTCGCTTCAATACTAAATTAGAATCCACTCTGAAAGCTTTCGAGAGACTTGAAGAATTTAAGACATGTAATTTATACAAAACAACAGATGTGTTGGCCAAGATCTTAGGTAAGGCTAAGACAAAGCCAGTCCATATGAAGTCCACAACAAAAATTAATAGTTTACGAAAGAATTCGGAAATTCAGAAACCCTATCAGAAAGTCTTCATTATTGGAGCAGGCTCTGCTGAAGAGAAGATGAGTCCAAGGAAATCGATTGACCAAACGATGCTCTCAGCCTCGTTTGCTGGGGAATTTGATTCGATGAGAATGAGTTTTTGCAATGCTTCATATACCCCTGAAACCAAAACTGCCTCTAAAAAGATTGCTGATTTGAAGAAATCGGGAATTAGGAAGCCTACTGTTTTCAATACTTCAGGGAACCTGAAGACGATGAAAGTACATAGGAACTCTGAGAAGAAATGTGCTACTAAAAAGGGGTTTAACAAAACTGTGGGAAGGAACAAAAGGAATATAGTCTCCTTCACTCCTTCCAAACTTAACATGAGCATCAGAGATTTTGATAAGGATATGAATTCCTTCACTGCAGGATCAACTTGAGGGTTCTCTGATGAGTAGGAAATACCTACATAAATTCATAATTTTTCTTAAAATTCAACTTTAAACCTCTTCTTACAATATCTTCCTTCTTGTGGTATCTTTCACCAGAGCCACCAAATCTCTTGAAACTGAGAGCCCCAAATCGTGTCTAGTTTATTGTAATGATTTTAAAGATCGAATTATTCAGAATTTTATATATCCTTTGGACTTATAGACATCCAGCATTGGAATGTTTAGCTTCACTATCACATGATGGTTTTTACCTTAAAGGCGCAAAAAGAAGTCAGGAGCTGAGCTAGATACTTGTTTGGACCAGTTGATCACACCTTGGAGTTCTTAAAATCTTCCAACATAGTTCTAATATTATTAGAGTACCTTCACTAGTTTGTCCAGAGGAAGTATTCTGGACTCTCATGTTTTCCACCCCAAAATTAAGTTCATGAAGCAAGATTTGTCACCGAATCATGTCCTTTGTAGTTGAAAGCACTTTTCCTAACCAGGTGAGGTCTCCATGAAAATGAATAAATTATTTAGAGAACAGTGCCAGAACTTTCAAAGGGATTCATCAAAGTGGGGTTTTGGGGTTTTGGGGTTTTGGGGTTTTGGGG